GCATGAGAAAGATTATAACTGACGTTTAACAAAATCCAGACTTAGTTGGAATGCAGGACAAGTGACTTTAATCGTATTGCATCATCTCTAGGACTCCAGCCAGAGTCGTGAAGAACCATCAGAAACCAGTCCTTTACAACTTTCATACCACGACACCATGTCATACACTGACCACCTCTCCGCCTTCTCCAACCAGTCCCAGCGTCGGCAAATAATGTATGGCGTGGAATCCTCTGAGATGACATTCGCAGAACATGTCCAAGCCACCGAAGTCCATGTTTCAATTGAATTATCGTCGCTGTGCCCGAACACACGACACCGAACCCCTGCATTACTCACATGGTGTTTCCACTAGATGTCAACAATCGTTCGGAAATAACAATTATCAAACAGGGATAGTCGTCTAACATCCTCAACTCGGAGAGGCCAGGTTTCCTAATCATAGAGCGAAACTGCTCTCACCGACGCGTTGTAAATCCGACCTTTTACAGCCAGACTGACATAACGAGGGTGCCAAAGATGGACCACACTGGCATAAGCCGCTCTGGCTTTCACTATACATGAATCGATCTCATCACTCACGCCACCACAAACACTTATGCAGCTACCTAGATACACGAACTTCTCGACTACTTCTATCTGCTCATCATCCAGGGTGAGTACAGGATTAGAATCCTGACAGTCTTGTAGAAGTACTTTGCACTTCGAAGGTGCGAAGCACATACCATACTTAAGGACACTGATTGCCAACTGACTAAGTGCGCATTGCATGGCTTGGGCATTATCGCGCAGTAAGACAATATCATCAGTATACTCAAGGTCGAGAAGTCTTTCTCTAGGTATGTTACGTCCTTGATCTATCTACCCACTTTTAGTGCTAAGGATACTTCTTTAATCTAGATTAAGACCTTGAAGCGATAGGCTGATCGGCTTAACCTTGAGGCTAGTACGCGTGAGTTCGAAGTGAGGTAGAGAGAAGAGAACTATTCTATCACCTGATTGGTTGACAAGCACGAGAGTGAGAGACAAGACAACTGGAACACTACTCGATTTATTCTCAATTCCGACCTGGTTCCCGATTTCAGATCAGTGCAAAAAAGATACATGAATAAATAGATGACTAACCCGACCACAAAGTACAATAATTAGGAAAATACAATTATGTCCAAAGCTGGGAATTAGAGTAGAAAATAGAGTACAAAATATTATGTTTAAATTACAATAGCTTCGGAACAAAAAAGTGTATGGCAGTGAATCATACATCAAACGAAAGCTTATGTTCTGTAGAATAGATTAGGGACAAAGATAAATGTTAATGTTTTACAATCTTTGAATTAACTGAAATAACGTCCCGAGAAATAGCTTTCGTAGTTTGTCAAGGCACCTTGTTTCTCTGTTCACATCAAGGCAACAGATCCACACTGCCATTACTTACATCCATCAGAGCTGTTTCCAGAATGTCATCGGTGGCAAAGTTGAAGTGATATAGTGAAATTGTGCAACCCTGTCTAACCCCACTTCGTGAATGGAACAATGGAGGAAGGTAGTTGTACGTCTTCACTCTACCTGAGGTGTTTGTATATAGGGCTTTTAGGATGTTAATAAACTTCTCAGGCACACCCTTCTTCAACAGACAATCCCAGAGAACAGTCCTGTCCAGTGAATCAAAGACAGCCCTGATGTCAAAAAACACTACGATTGTTGGCCTTTGATAAGTATGACGGTGTTCTAACATTTGGCGGAGGGTGAAGACATGATCAATACATCCTCGACCAGAACCAAAACCAGCCTGCTCCTAGCGAGTTAATTTTTCTCAGGTTTCGACCAATCTATAAGGTATGATGGAAGACAGTTTCATACATACCAGTACTAAACAAGTGTGGTGCCAGTTTAGATTCCGTGCTCTTAGTTCGACAGTGCCAAAGTCCATCAACTAACAGTTCACCCGACGGCCCGGAATTTATACTGTATCTCTGATATTTACCGAACTCAGCAGATGTTGAGATTGCTAATTACTGAGATGATGGGTGTTTATAACCCAAGTGGAAATCGATGCTTTTTCTGCTTTCAAGATATGTAAGGGTTACTCACCAGAACACAATATATGGCTGTATGGGAGATTCGGCGTCAAAACCCCTATGTGAATTACTCTAGGACTTGGAAGGACAAATTATTCTGTACACTCCGATATTTCCTTGTCAAATATTCAAGTGTCAGCTTATAATGCTTCTATTTACTTCGTGTGTGGGTCTGCCTCTATCTATAATCTAATTAATTATCTATCTACTTGCTGTGCTTTATACGTAGCCTATCGACACGATGAAGCACCCTATTCAGGAGTCGGCTGGTGTCCCAAATTTATGCTGCATCTTCGTCTATATAATTGACTGGATATTAACAAGATATGAAAAGTATCCTCAATAGACTACATATTTCGGCTTTTTGAATGAACGCTGAATTAATGGGACGCATAAAATAAGGGATACAAACACGGGGATAAAAACTGTTTCCTGCATCCTACATTTAAATAGAAAGATACACAACCTAACCCCGCAACAATTTGATCATTATGTATTCATAAATAGATTTGTTGTAGAAGTATCCAATAGTGAGTCACAGTCGAGATAAATCAAATTTACCATACAATCAGAAAAGCGAACTTAAAACTCAAACTGAAGAACCCTTGTCAACTTTTAATTTTGGTACATAATGCATAATAATGCAGAGTTCCATCAACCAAGCGACTTTTCCGTTCTTAAGGGTGAGCCTATGACCTCATAATTAGAATGTACAACTAAATATTCATTAACCCAGCTACTTGTAACTGAAGAGTTTGAAACCATGTAGTCTCTTGAGCTACTGGATAATGACGCAATTACTAAACACTGTATGAGGGCCTCACAGTAGTTCAAGGATAGCTATGAGGAATGATGGAAGTGCTTTCGTATAAAACAAACTATGGCTCTTCCATAAAGTTCTATTTAACAGATAAAACCAAAGTCATAACATAGTTTTTTGGTAGCACCAAACTATTGCTCCGAAACTACACTCCAGAAGCAGTCATCTTTAAGACAGAATTTTCTATTGTAATGTCCAACCTCGATAGTATGTTTAGTGAGTTAGGTTCAACTATAAAGGAAGTTGTCCAACTGAAACTACAGCCATTGTGTGAATGAAGTGTGGCTAAGGGTTTAAGCTGTCAAATTAAGACTATCCTCTCCACGAGTATGAACAAAAAGTCAGCATACTTTTAATTATAAATGGTTACTTCCTAGACGCTAATTGACGAAGGCATTTATGACAACTGATAGGTATTTTGATTTTGGGTGGAATGAACACAAAAAATGACTAAAGATAGTAGCCCAGAAGAGTAGGCACAATAGAGTAATACTCCCAGTTTCTAAAGATTTAATAGGAGGACAAGTGACTTCGTGATGAATCCTTAAACAAAGCCGCTCAGTCTGCAAGTGGTGAAAAGTTTAGTATCCAGTACAATTGTTATTTTCGTAGAACCTCTAGTTACCTTGTAGTAATCATCTGCCCAGTGCAAATTAATGAACTCTCTTCCTAGATGTTATTTGTGCCATCTAGTCACAATACCTGGTTACCTTTTGAAACACGATGAAGCTTGGCCAAGTCAGTAACAACGTAGAACTTCGTACGTACATCAGTTCGAGTTGCCATACCAAATTAGCACAGTGATACAGTTGTCGATTCAAATCCCGTAGTGGTAGAGGTAGCAAGAATATAAGCAGTAATCGAGAAGATGCCCTGGTACGGCCGAGAGTGAGGAGAGTCCGCTCTCCCTCTCGAAATACTCTCACATGGCCAAGCGTATATAGCCTCTGCCAGGGAAGTCCTACTCACTGCCTTCTCGTGGCGGGGGTGTTGTTTACGAAAATGATAGGACGAAAAGCGAATGTCCGGCGCTTTAACCGGATCCCAAATCAATGGTGCACATGGGCTCCAGTATCCTGCGGGAACAAATGGCGCATGAACCAAGTGTTGGTCACCGGCTTCCATGGGACTGCACCTTCTTACGATGCTCACTGCCTTGTGGATCAGATCCTCAGGTCGAAGGCTCGGGGTGTGGCCCCCTAAGAAAACCACCTGCTTCGGTCTGGGCACCCGGGCAGTATCACAGCCCTCACACATATCGAATGAGATTTGTGTGGCGCAAATGTAATTGGTGCCTCTTTGTACCAATATGTGTTGAAATAAAAAATCGGGAAGATTAGGGTTTGGATATGTTATTTAAAGACTATAATCCAGTGGAAAAAAACTTGGGAAGAGGAAAAAAAGGATTCAGATTAGAATTTGGGAGAACACATAGTGTATGCACCCGCGCCATTACAAACGATTTTGCGCCATGTCATTCAGGGTCTCTAACCATCAGTTGCTATCATCTCGCGGTCCCCAACCAGGTAGTCTACACCTACCACCATGACTCAGTCCACTTGTCAGTAACTTCATGGGTTTGTGCCATGTTTTGGTCTGGCCGAAACTAGACCTAGAGACACAGTTGTCATCCCGAGAAATATGACTGGATAAAAACTATTTAGTTTTATCAGAAATACGTACCAGCTAGGCTGGACACAAATTTAAGGACGCTAAAGATGTACGCGCACTCACGTCATAGACCGAATATACAAATCTATATAGTACAGATTTTCGTTTAGATATTTCCAACTTAAGTCACTTGTTTAGAATAGAGACGGTCAGGAATGCCAAAACCTTTTGTGTTGTCTGATAAAGGGAGAACCTCCGTAAATTAGAAGTACATGTGCATCAAATCGTCTTACCTTCCGCAATAAGATTGTTTCAAGAACTATGCCTATCTCCCACGGAATCTTAGTAAGGGGTTAGCGACTATATACAAGACCTTAAGTCGGTGATAAGTGTAACTAACAGTATAGTGCACATTGAAACTTACAACAGATATGTAATTGCTATATATAGCGCGAGTACTGAGAAAAAACTCGTCTCTACAACAGTACATGCGGAAAGTCTATGAATAAAACATGCACAAAGCAGGCACAATCTAAATAATCTACCAAACAAAAATATATTCTTGGAATATGACGAGGATTTTGTCCTTAGTGAAGTAACAGAGCTACCTTCACATTTCTCCGCAGGACGGCACCTTTTCCCTCCACTGAACAAAAACTCAAACTAGTGCCAACATGAAATATACGCAACTAACTGCTGGTAAATTGATTTCAGCAATAAGAAAACCGAAGTTAGGTGCCCTTAAAAGGGCGGTTATTATATATATATATATACAGGACAAAAAGTATTTACATGTGGAAATGAGAAAAGTAAAATGAACTAGGCAGTTTGTATCCTAAGTAGCAGTCTTAGGTGTTGGGTTACTCCAGTTAAATCACTTGGACTACAGCAGAACGGCATCCATTCGTCAGGAGGAAGTGGTATGCTTTCAGGCTTTGGGGCTGCATGTACTATTGAATCGCAATACTTTGACGCATGATTTGAAGGCGGAGGATTGCGATATCGACCAGACTCTATTTTACGCACATTACTCCGATAAACACGACGGGAATTATCCATCCTCATTTTTTTACACAGAACCATGAAAATGGCCGAATGACCCTGACAGATTAAAACAAGTGTCTTCAATCCTCAAACGTCTGTCATAAGGATAGGCCTGTCGACCTATATTAATCTTTGCAGTTTTTAATACTGTGGAGGTCTAATCTCCTTTTTAATATTTCGACAGAAGGTGCTGATAATATGACGTATTCACCGGAACACGTATTCCGGTAAATAATTCCAGTAATTCACTACTTGGTACGAGAAACGAAACTCCAGACGTAAACGATTTGACCTCGATCCTTGAAATTTCTTCAAATGTCCTCTCAATTGATCAGTACCAGACGGAAGTAAAAGATAAGACATGTTAATACAAAAGTCATCGTTCAGTATACGATAAGCCAATATAAGATCACCTCGTATTCTAAGGTAAGATAACGGATATAAGTTAAGGTGTTTCAATCTGTCTTCATAAGATAGACCCAAAAGACCTTTTACCACCTTAGTACCTCGTCGTTGGACTCTTTACAGTATATCTGCTCCATAATCGAAACAAGGACTCGCTGCTTGAATCCCATATTCTAAATATGGTCGCACAAAAATCGGGTATACTAATCTTGCAGTGACTGTTGGTTTTGAGATCACTGCTTGATATGACTCCTAAATCTTTATAGTTTCTTACTTTGGGTAGCACGAATCCACATATTGAATAGTGATACGATTCATCATAGTTATTTAGTTGCATCATCACACTCTTATTAGGATTCACTTCTAGTGATCACCTGTCCAACCATGCCACCAATGAGCTAAGATCATCCCGTAATACTATTCTATCCGACATAATGTGTATGGGTCTCAAAATTTTTATGTCATCAGCGAAGAGCAGAACGGATGATTTTGCTACAGTTGGCAATTCAATTACATAAAGTAAAAAGAGAAGAGGACCGAGGATTGTACCTTGGGGAACTTCACTTTTTAAAAGTACACAAATTAAGAAAGCGAAACCGTCCATCTGAATCACTGAAATTTTGAATAATTCAACATCTGCATTTGCTCTGAAATTATGAAAGGTGAGTACTAATATTATGCACTTTTTGGGAAACTACAGCGCTGCATTATTATAAGCAGGATTGAATTTTTCTATTACACATAAAAGGATGGATCATTAATTCTGAAATCTTTTTCGAAGCTCTTTCCGAGAGACCAGTTCTAAAAGAAAGAACAGATAATACATGAATATCATTGACTACCTGTGTAACGGAAAGAGAAAGATGAAAATTCCTGCACAGCCTTTTTGTTGGACAGTATTGTCATTTATGTTTCTTCTCCTTGTCGTGTATCTTAACCTTTGTTCAGATCTCGTTACACCACACCTTTTGTTCTTTAGTCTTCCTCGTCTGAGCCTTTATTATGTGATTTTGATCAAAGACTTATCTTTTGCTACCTAATTTTCCATTGCATGTTGCCGTACTATTGACAGTAAGGTCTTGCTTGACTAAGCTCAAGGTCACGGCGTGGTTCAGTGTGTGACTGTTAACCTTCTGACTGTCTGCTTTGGAGGTTTGCTGGAATCCCTGCAGATAGATAGTTGATTCCATCTTTTTGGGACTATTTGTATTGATTCCCAGGTATCGAACCCTTTGGTATTATCTGTTTCTTTTATTGTTGAGCGCGCTACTTTGCGTTCGAGAAACTTCTGACTTTATAGCACAGGCTGTACCGTTTGAGGTATTTTGTATTTTTGATGTAATTTGTACTGTTTTGTAAATTAAAACCGTTTATATTGAGCACAGAGTTTGTGTTTTGATATAACATAACAAAACGCGTTGTGAACTAAGCAGAGGAACGTGGTCAGGTCTAATCGAATAAATTTAGGGTTCGTCAGTCCTGTGTTCCAACCGAATATTGGTTGTTCGGTTGTTACAACCTGAATATACGGTAAGCTGATTCATGGACAATCCAAAGATGCTTGAGAATTTGACCACATTTTTAATTAACTAAATATTTTAGTGAATCACTGTAACTCGTGATTATTGGTAATAAAATTTGCCGTTCGAGAACTCATTAGCTTTCGGGTATAATAAATTGGAGAAATACTTGCTGGAGCGCGTTCTGAGATTCAATATCGATCATTTTTAAACCAGTTGGTAAAGCGTTTGTTGAAATGACTTCACGTCATTAGGGATCAGTGAAACCGACCAACCTTATCTACGGCTTGCTGTAAGCTGTCTGCATCCAATTCCGCAAAATCACTTTGGCCAAGCATGGTCACGTGAGGCACCGTGTTTATTGTTTACTGCTTAAAGAACGTCAAATTGAAACATTGATGCTACTCACTGGTAACATTATTTCTAGACTTTTTGTTTAAATATAGTCGCCGAATAATGTTGACAGCAGTGTACTGGAGCTTCGGATCACTAATAATTAGTTTGAGGCATAATTTCTTTTCTTGTCTTCTAGTTTCGACAGTCAGAAAAGTATTGAATATACACGTTTCCATTCATAGCGTTTGAAAATAAGCCTACAAACCGCCCTTCCTTACTCATCCAACTACTAAAGCGACTATTTCCCAGACAATACAATGAATATAAATAAACGCCAGAACATTTAATTTATTTTTGTACAACCGATAATGAACCTGATACATCTACCTCTAATCCAATCGCGACGAAATTACTGAGAGTACACATGGATAAGTGATGTCCATAAAACATTAATATCTCTGTGGATCACATTGTTTAAAAGGGATCAACAAGTCTATAATTTTGCATTACTCGGCTTGATACGCTCGTGTATCTACTCATTGGTGTTCAGGGCTATGAGTTTTGTGGAATATCGATAAAATGTTCACTAGTTTAAACCTGAATTTTAAAAAATCCTTCTTCGATACATGATGAAGACTTAGTCTGAAAAAACGTTTGATGACCACTGACCAGATATATATTGCACTTACGGACAATGTTGTTGAGAACTGCACATATGAGTCGATTGTCTATTCATGAAATTGACAACTCACGTCTCGCTAGGTCAGGATCATGATACTTGAAAATTATAACTTTTGAGAGCTATTCTTGGTTATTTGTATTTAGTGAAAAATGAGCGTACACCCATCATTCTTTTCTTAACAGGAACTCGAACTTAATCTGATAATATAAATAAATAGAGTCAATGTTTTGTCTTTGCTAACCTTATAATGTGCACGTGTTTCGTTCATTTTAAAATGCTAAAATGACATCCCTTAAGCTCATTGTTATACACCTCACATTAAAATAAGACTATTTTATTCCATCTGGATATTTTTATTACATTGATACCCAAGTCGATACACCATCTTTCCTAAACATACTGGATTAGGAATACTTTGTGTATTGGAATTACTTATATGATTGAGGCATTCATGAAACAGTTTGGTAAGTATTGTGTTGCACTTGGTGCTTATATAATGAACTTGCTACTGCAGCATTATACTCTATCATGTTTTTAAGAAATTTCTTTTACTCCTTAGATAAACTTGTAGTGAACTACTTTTATCAAGAAAACGCGATTGGTTTAATGGAAACAATTGGTATTATAACCAATCGTTCCAGTGAGTTTTACTGTACTCGATTGTTTAACTGTACTAAAGGCATACATTCTTCCGTTGATTGTGACCTTGCATGAATTCGGTTGCGCTCAGTAACCATACTTGTAACTTGGCACGATCTCGGTATTCTTTCGATACCACGAGATCGCCAGCAAATACATCTCGACTACAGCCATCAACTGCCTTCTTATATTTGGCCTACGGGGGATCTTATCAATTAACTGGTACGTAGTCTTCCTGTAGTGGTGATCGTAGCCGACCGTGACTCGACGCCACACTAGAGGCTCATGTGTTCTGAGATGTGGCTAGAGATACATATGTGAAAAATATAAATTACGACTATCTGAATAGATAAATGTTTTCAAAAGTGGCTTTGATATTTCGATTTCGGTACTTTGTATGAAGTTTACGAAGGTAGAGGAAAGTCGTTGTAGTCGAAAGTCTGTCTCTTAACGTAATTTTAATTAGGTGTCGTTATATGGTGTATAGTATTGTATCCTCCAATTGATTACTGCGAATATGGAATACAACTACCGTCACTCAAATGCGTAGAACCCCATAGCAGCGAATCAAATAACAGAAGAAGCAGAGGGAGCGATTATTTGGTAAGGGTCAGAAATATACAGAAAAATGTGGATGTTTATGGCCTTTAGTATATTCTGCAACATCAATATAATCCAGACAATCTGCAGTCAGGAAATCGTACAATTGCCCAATAACGCCATATTGGCTTTTTAGAGGGTTTCATCAGGTTCTGAGTAGAAGAAGAAATTTCTTCAGCTCAATTACAGTCTTCAGAGAATTCACCGTGCTTCATTGAAGCGACAAAACTACCTGTATGTTGTTGTATTTATTGGCCGTACGAATTCACGTTATAAAAGTTGAAGAGGTTGACAAAAACTAAGGAAAAAATAGAAACTAATGAACTGGTACATAGCAATCTCAAAAGCGTCAGTCCGAACTTATGCATATTTAAGAGGTTATGCACGTAATGGCTGTCTAGGTATTGATTCCAAGATGAGCGACACCCTCTGTTAAGTAATACGTACTGCCTAGTTTTTGATTTCCTGTTGTTCAGACGGCATAGTATGACGAAACTGTTTTATACCCCGAAAGGCTAGTTTCATTTAAAAGGCGCTCCACTCGAAAACTTTCGACTACTCATGCAGACCTTATTAACAAAAAGAAATTGATTGATTCATAACTTTCCCTTCTATGTGCAAATTCGTCATCACGAAACTAGTTTTAGCAAAAGAAATATGAACGTAGTCTGACATTCTTACATTCTGAGACATTGTTCCTAAGTAACAGTTTAAATAAATCAAGGCCTATAATACAGTGTTTTAGTAAATAGGTACACTTGTAGTGGCATTGGACCATAACCACACTATCCTCAAAGCTGAATACGAGATTACTCGGAAAATAGGTATTCAATATTTAACGCGAAGAAATACCTAACGATGGAGAAGCCGCGAATAATGAAC